ATCTACTTTAGTGCGTCACTGGTAATTTCAGACTCAAACTGATATAAAATAAGAAAAAAAATGGTTTAAAGAGTTGAAAAACAATTTATGACAAGAGAGATAGCTCAAAAGTAACTCAAACCCATTGACAAGAAACAAAAGAAAAAAAACATTTAATTTGTTCATAAATGTAGAAAACTATGGAAAAATGAAAAATACTGATGAATGCAGGACAAGGTGGGGTTTATGGTTCTTAAAGCAATGGAGTATTAAAAGTGTGAGTCACCGTTTCATGACATGAATAGAATTTCTCCTGATTTTACAGTGGCCATGTGATAACTGACAGTTGTCTATTTGCCTTTTACACAGTGCTCTATAGTTTTTTTGAATTATCCTTTCTTTTATTGCCCAAACAGGCCGTTTGTTTATGAGCTTTGCAACATCTTTCACTCCAGGATTAATGACAGAAAACGGTTAACTGTCCAAACAAGCTGAATGAGCTATAACGTTAACAAGTACTCACTGCAGCCGGGTCTTTAAACCCTTTCAATCTACAAACTGAAACTGGTACAAAGTTTAAGAAAATGCTTTTTAAATTCAAGCTACAGAGGCCCTATTGTTTGTCATTAAACATGTAAATATATATATATAAATATATAAATGAGTCTACAAAATCAAGATGTAAAACATCCTCATGAAGGGCTTCAATCAATCGCTGACCAAATAAATACATTTTTTTTTGTCAACAACTGCCATTTGAAAAAAAAAAAAATCTACTCATTTCACAAACTCTAAAAATATATATTTGTGTTTTGAAAGTCTAATTTATTTGACCAATTTTGCTAAAGGAAAATACCCAAAGCCAACACACATGCTCTAATTTTTGCATTTCAGAATGAGTAAAAAAAAAGCTTGGTACCACAATTTGTTGAATTTCTTACTTGCAGCACATAATGCATCTTCTTCCACTGTAGTTTAGTCTTCCTACACAGGAGAACAAGTTCTTTTATTTAGTGGAGAAGTCTTCAAATATAAAGCACTTCAGGATATGCAGACCCAGCTGATTAAAGCTGGCTGCCCCGAACTTCCTTTGCGCTTCATCTGTTCACCTTTATTTTTGTTGGATATACACAATCCCATTGTGTCATACCTAAAACCAGTGTTTCAAACATTTATGAACCTTTAATGCCACCATTAACAGCTAATCCTTTAAGAACTATGATGTCAGGCTGCAGCAGATGGACAATAAAGATTATATTTTCACTATTGCATAACTCAAACATTAACAAAAATTAAAGCAGGCACAAATGCAACCCCCAGAATAGTATTTACACCATTTCCTTTTCTAAACTCATCTCTGGCCTCTTTCAGCTCCTGCTCTCATGTTTCACCGTCTCACCCCCTTTACTCAGGTCTAATTGACCATTGTGGCAGATGGGGTGGTCCATAGTGTGTGGGAATCAATGTCATTGTGGAGCTGAGAGAGATTAGCAGCTAGTTTGCACCAGTGAGTGATGACAGCTGGGACCAAAACCCCTGCTCTAACACCCCCACAGGCAAACACTCACAGGAAGTACAAGTAGTATCATGTTGGCTTTACCAAATTTAAATACAAAAAAAGTGGCTCAGTTTTATAAGCTTTATATATAAGCTTCCACATAACAAATAACCTATTTTATGACCTATCTAAGCCTACTATATATAAAAAAAGCCATGAGAGAAAACATTGCATTTACAGTGTCATTTAAAACAGGACTCCTAACATAAACTAACTCACTGGAATGATCTCCAAGACACGCAAGCTTCGCCTCTGAGGCAGAGCAAACATTCAGCATATGATCTGAGCCAAAACAGTGACAGCTGCTGACAGTAGCTACACTGTAATAGACCATCTTCAGCTCCTCAGACTGATCTGGCAGCAGTTGTTCCCGTTTGATTAAAAAAAATAATAATAAATTCTCTGGACTTTGACAAAGTCTGTTTTGAATTAATGCAATCATAAATATGTAAATTAAATTTGGCTTACCAACCGAGTTAAACAGAGTTTTCTATTCTTCTAAAAGCTCAAACAACCATCACCTTTAACTTTCCATTATCTTAAAAGAAACTAATAACAGTTGAATAAAATAAAGCAAAAGCATAGGAGGGCGTACCAAAGAGACCATCTTATCACAAACAAAACTGGTTTGTTCCACTTTGGAGTAAGCTGTTGGGGGAAGAATCAGCTTTGTTGTGTGTTTCCTTGACTGATGAAGCCTTCTGGATGGAAGGTGAAACGTTTCAGCACAAAAAAATGAAACTGTCCAGATGGCCTGAACTCCTAAGTTAGCTCTTTAGTATACCATTTTTAATGCCTTTCTTTGGATGATGGCTCTGTTTACTGTTTTCAGTCCAGGTTTGCTCTGAGCCGAGTGTTGGGAATCACCGGTGAGCAGAAAATGAAGACAAAACTATCTAATGCTTTCTAGATGCTACTGCTTTTTGCATCAACATCTTACGCTGGTGAAGATTCTCAGTCATCCAGGACATGATAAATTCAAAAAACGTTCAATACAAAAACAACTGGACTTTATTTGTAACAGAAGACGTTTCGCTCCTCATCCGAGGAACTTTCTCAATTCAAGTCTTCGGTTACAAATAAAGTCCAGTTGTTTTGGTATTGAACGTTTTTTGCATCAACATTTATGTTTTCTGCGATCCTGATTTCATTAATTTTGACAAGATCCCAAACTGTGGCTGAAATGCAACCTCAAACCATAAAATACTGAGTTCAAGGATGGCTTTCTGTCCTTTTCTGTATTAATCAAAGATAATTTAAACCAAACTTCAAAAACAGTATTCAGCACTATTAATGAAGTATTTAAATTTCAGTTTTAGAGCCAACTGAGCAGTCATATAGCGATGCATGTAGTGTATGTGGATCATCCTAAAACACACAATCATTGACAGAAGATGGCTTTATGCAGCCACCGTCTTCTACCAAGAGATTATTAAATTTCCTCCAGGGTTCCCACCAGGGCAATCATGTCTGCTCACAGCAGAGCAGAGCAGGAAAACTGACAGAGCTCATGTTGCTAGTGAGCCTTCTTCAGAAAACTGCCTCTTCCATGACTGAAGGGACTGTGGGTGTCAGTTACTTGGCTCCAGCTTCATCCAGGTCAAATCAAGTTCAACAACAGATGCTTCTCACAGAGTATGAGATGGCGTGTTTTGACATGACGGTGGGGAATTGACATGATTTAACAATTGCGTGGTCTTTCATGTGCTGACCGAATGCTATGACTACAGTTTAAACGTGCATTAATCATACAGTGGTAGAAACATGAGCATGAAACAAAAGAACAAAGCCGTGTTTCTTAATCCCTCAATTTTTTGACGGGAGTAAGATATTTGAGAGCAGTGATCCTTCAGAGGACTCCTGGAGGACTTCATTGCTAATTTTGATGCAGGAAAAATAATTTGCAGTGATGGAATAAGAAGCCAACCAAACAGAATGTTTGCCCCATCGTTTGCGTGACAATCTACGTAGTTTTGAAATGTGAAAAAGCTTACTAAGCACACACACACACACACACACATACGACGCCACACAAACAAAAAAAAAATCCCACAAGATTAAACATGCAAGGTACCCCACCAACATTGGCCTTGTACAAATTCATCAGCTTTTCAACAGGAGTCATTTAATATGCCAACTATGAACAGCTGGAAGCAAACTTAATTCAAGTGACTGTATTTGTTCCTCATCTGTGATATTTAAGCTTACAACCACAGTTGCATGCTATAAACACGGGTAAAACTATGCCCTTCAGCGTATAGTTGCTTTAGTATTTAAAGACGTTGGCAAATAAATAAACATAAGGGACAAAATAATCAGTGTTTCTACCTGAATTTCTCTACAAGACAAAGTCTTAATTTTAACAAGTAATTTCTACATGTTTTTTTTAGTACTTTAATAAAATGAACAAAAAGTCCCAGCCTTAAAAGCTTTGATTTGAATACAGCATACAGGTAATTACAGCAACGTTAGTGAGCAACAAATTGTTCAGTGCCCTTTAACACTCTCCATGAGTGACAATAGAAGGAAGGAGAGGTAACATGGTAACTGTTGCACTCGGTGCGCAAAACAGGACTTCTCCTGAAAACCAGAGCCCAGACACAAAGATATTTCTCTGAATCTTCAAATCACATAAGCACCTCATTGGAAGATATTGTTTTTCATCAGCTGCTGAACAGGTAGCACAAGCTGTCTGCAGCTCAGATTAAAAATAAATAAATGCCAGGAGTGACTCAGTGAGTGCCTACACTTTTATCTGAGTCTACGTGGAGAAGTGACATGTAGCAGAAGATGGATCTGTAACATGAGGAAGACAGATCAAGTTGAGCCTTTTTTGTCTTGCTCCTGTTAAATCCTCGACTTTCATGCCTGTGGCTTTGTGGATCCCACATCTTAAAGAGTTCAGAGGCAGACGTTTCTCAGTGTAAAACAAAGCCCCTTATTGAAATGATTTTTGTATGCAAAGGTTTCGCTGAATGAGCACTTGTTTTTCAACATTTTGCAAACATGACCGCACAATCCACTAAAACAAATACCACAATTAGGTACATAAAACATTTCTGACAGTTAACTACAAGTTAATAGCAAAACATGGATGAACTGGTGAATGGATCATACATCTTTCATCTAAGGTGGATTATTACAGGCACTGTCAGCATTAGCAAACATTTGTATTGACAATTTTATGTTCAGATCCAGTTATACCTACTTGTATATCCGAGCTATGCTGACACGTCACAACAGGCTGCAAGAGAAAACCTTTTGTCTGCAGCAGGTGCACAACACATGACAAAAGTCTGCAGGATGGTGCTTTGCAGTATTTACCTTTTCTGCACCAGCATTTGATTTAATATACATATTTAAATTCTCAAAATAAACTTATTCTAAACATTAACTCTAACATTTTAATTTACAACTGCTGCGCGGTGGTATGCATCACCTAAAAGACGTGGACAAACCCTACCTCCATGGCCAGTGCAGCTGTTTGCTGGTCGTAGTGATTCAGAAGATTGGGCATGAAGGTGGTGTTGTAAGGCAGGTCCTGGCACATTCTCAGTCTGATGGGCTCACAGCTGAACTCACTGTGGCTTTCTATATGGTCTATGTGGATGGAAAGAGCAGGGCTAGTCAGGAAGAAGAGCAGGTGAAGAAGGATGGAGAAATGGCAAACGGGAACGTTTTGTCCGCAGACAATGGTTTTGGTTTTTGACTGCCCGTCTTCGGCGCATTCTCCTCCGACAAGTGTTTGCATTTTAACGTTCCACATATTTTCAGCGTCTTACGACATCATCATCTTCACACTTGACGGCCAATACTAAATAGAAGTAAAAGGAAAAATCCACAAAGCAGATATGCAGTCTAAACTGCACATTGGAAGTCCCGATTCATATGCTGGCTCCAAACAGTGTTCTTTGTGTCAATCCTCAACATTTCCAGTCCAGGCATTTTTGATTTTGCGCATAAAGCTTTAAATTATTTCTCATCTAACGACCAAGATATGATTTCTCCCCAGCTTCTGTTGCTCCTCTGATCAAAAGCTGCTTCCACTTGTTCCATCTCCGAGCAGAGTCCAAAACCAATTTACTTGATACAGGTCCTCTGAGGCTTACTGTCCATCCTCTCCTTTCAGCACTCCTTTATCTCTTCTCTCAGTATTTCCAGCAGTGTCTGAAAGAATCGCTGAGCCCACAGGATGCCATAATAACCAGGACGGTTTTGCTGATTCCTCTGCAAGACAGAAAATCCACGTTAAATTGTCACACTGGATCAGACCCACCAAACAGGTTCTACAAGTTCATATAGAGGCTTGATGCTTAAAAAGCTGAGGGGGTTCAGTTGAAGTTTACAGATCAGCCACACCCTTCTTCACAAGGATCAGACACGATGTGCATCCAGCAGTGCAACTGATGCTAAGCAGATTCCTCTGTCAACACATTTAGGCCTCGGCTTGTGTCGGTGTTTAAGATTATTTTGTGAGAGGCAGCTCATGCGGACTACAGAGGAGAGCCGCAGCTACCCGGGGTTCCGATGTTGAACGCTACACCTGCGGACGTTCAGACCCTCACCCCCCCCCCCCCCTGCCCATTCTCACGTTTGAGTCAGCAACACTCCACTGCCGTGTTTTCACACCCACCACGCGACTTTACGTGAACTTTAGGAATACAGTTAAATAAATTAACGTTGGAAAACCCGTCAGTTCTCTCAGCTCCAACAAGCATCGCTGACAGCTAGCTAAGCTACCCGCGTTAAACTGGTCGCTAATTTAAGTGAACACCTGCGCAACATTTCGTTACCGGGGAGAGAAAGAGCCGCGTAGCTCCAGGAATCGGAAACATCTTTTTTTCACGGAGGTGTCTTTGACCGTTGTTGAGGCGACTCTCGGGAATGGGCGACCATCAATCCGTTTGTCACCGCGGCGTCTTCAGGACAGCGGTGAGGCGCGCGCGCCTTCACCGACAGCATTCATGGTCCGAGGAGCCTCCCCCCCCCCCCCCCAGCACAGAGAGACAACCTGCACCGTAACGTTCCTGCAGTTTTACCTTTGTGTTGAGGAACACCGAGCGGTTCTGACGGTCCTCGGCTCCGGTCGCTGCCGTTACAGCGGAGCTACAACCACACATCGGGACCGCGCAGTCACCGTGAGCGCGCAGAGGCTCCACAGCGTGTGGGCGTGTTGTACTGAACACTGTACACCTTACATTTACTGCGCGCGCGTGGCACAAACTTGCTATCGTTTGTAGCGCACAGGTTGAATAACTCGTCCATATACACAAAATAATTAAAAACGCTGCGCGAAAGGTAAGTTCAAAGTATTTTAAGACAACTATTAGTTCATGCTTTACTTTTATTCTTTGAAATGGTTTAAAAGAAGTTTCATGACCCCGCAGCTTGTTTGTTGTGACTGTATTTCTCTTGCAGCTTCAGGATTAGTGCACGCTTTGAGTTCCTTGCACACAGTTGAGCTCTGCAATGGAGGAACTGTTTGATGATCTGATGTGATCCTCTGTTGCAGGGGGGTCCATGATTGAGCCCACTGGCCCACATCACTGTTTTTAACCCTATGACCCCACTTAACACCGACTAACAGTACTCCACATGTACAAATACACACTTTAGTTGAGGTTTATTATTCTTAATGAAAAGTTCACAACAAATTGTAACATATTAAAATTCAACTGCTCAGATGTTTTGTTTGCTCCAACAGGGGATAGACAATACACAACTTCAGTTACATTCAGTCCAGTTTAACCCTTATTACTGCAAATGTAACATTTTAACACAACCGACAACAACGCAGTTAGAAAAGTGTCAAAATGTTGCAGTCTTACAGTATACAGCTGTGTTTAACAAGAAAATCATTTTTACTGCAGAAAGCTGCATTACATCTTTGCAGTAAGACTAAAATGATCTTAATTATAAGTAAATAAATCAATTTTATCTGAACAGCATCGTCAAGAACTGTTGATCTTTTTTTTTTTATTTATTCTTTAGCCTAATTCTAATGCACACTGTAAACTATTTTATACTGATTGGTATAAAATAAATGGTTAAATAAGGTATTATAGAACAAACTTCATGACAACAAACCTTTATTCAGAAAAACTAATTAAATGGTTTGCAGAATCTACCTCATACAGCACGGTGTTTAAAACATGCTTAAACAATAAAAGAAAACATTAAAAATTTTGCACAGATTTGCAAACGTTAAACCATAACTATTTTTTTTTCTTCATCAAAAATGTCTTCATATTTGGAATACAGTAACCCATTATTTGGTACTCTACAGTTACTGTTAAGACACGTTTCCGCAGCATCCACACACATAAGTGCACTTAATAATCTTTATATTGGCATAAAAGGATGAGTGGTTTGAAATGAACAGAGTGAAACCAACTGATGAGGTCTGCTAAACTTCAGGATTTGAGTGTTGTTCCATCAGGCAGCGGGTGTGGGAAGAGCTCTCAGCCGCTTCCTCCAACTAGGAGAGAATGAAGGAAAACGAGAAGATTTAACGTATCAGAAGAGACTGAACTTATCTGGTTTGTGTCATCAGGACATGCTGGGCAAAAGTGTTTGTATGAGGACAGTACACTCATCAATTCCCAGGTAAACTGACACATTTTATCAGGATTTGTATCAGGTGAGGACAAAGACAAGAAAAAATGGGCTGATCAAGAATCTAACAATATCCACGTTTCTTTAAACCTTCTGTGACACTTCTGTGGGTATTTGTGCAGTATTACCACTAAAAAAAAACTATTTGACAGATTAACAAATAAACATATTATACATATATTTTATTTAATTTAAAAAGTTTGTGTGTATATGTTGCCAACATAAAACTGTACTGGTGAATAAAATGTCTATTTCCATGACCAAATTAAATATACATCTATTCTTCAGTGACAAAGTGTTGTGGAGTAAATGCCAAAATATAATATGAAATATTTGTGATATATGTTATCATTAAAAATACTGTATATGTTTCTATTAGATGTAAAAGAACAAATATTATCAGGACATATTTAACACTTTGTATCCTTTTTTTTGAAACACTTTCATAATGTTCTCTGTAATTAGTTAAAAATGAAAATGACACCTTTTTGACAACCCTTCTGTAAAGGTGACACTAATTTGATGGGTACTATCTAAACGGCTGAAATATTTGGAATTGTCAGTATTTGCCTTTCAGCAAAAAAAAAAAAAAGAAGGAAAAAAAAAAGAAGAAGCTCAAAATAAGACATTTAAGGTAAGAAGCCCCTGGTTGGCTTGCCATGGAATGTCCCAAGACAGATTAGTTTCTGAGTTTGTATTAAATGAGACGTCTACGAACGTCAGAGTCAGATTTGGACAGAAACGCAGCACAGTCACACCCTTGAAGCACAGCTGCCTGCCCACACAAAGAAACACACCTGCTCTTTGATGTAGCTGTTCCCGCAGGGCGCCAGGCCTCGAAGAGTCAGTCCAATGATGAAGCACCACACCGAGAGTCCGGCCTCGGCTGCCGACAATATGGCACAAGGGATCCACAGAGCCAGGGTGGTGTCCTGACAGAGACGAAGACGTAGGAACAAAATGGATCACAAGGTTCGAACATTTCTACTGGCACATTAAAAAATAAATATCTAATTCATGAACAAATATTTGAGGCTTCAGGAAGAAATGAAGATGAGCAAAAATGGCACAAAGAGGAAAAACAGTTGACTTTATGACTCACATAGATTCGTGTCGTATCAAACGGACACTGGGCACTGACAGGTGACCGAGCATTGATGGGCACCACTGTCTCGTTGCATCCGAACATCAAACTTTTTCCATTCTGGGCAACAGTGATACCAACGGCCAAAAGGAGCCCGGCGCAGCACGCTGCTGAGAGCAAGGCGTTCAGGAATGATGCAACCAAAAGCCCTATTTGCTGAGGACACGCAGAGACACCGTGTCAAAGACAAAAGTCAAGTCAAAGTTTCTTTATTTGTCAATTGCCTCACATGTGGTACATGTGGTGGAACAAAACTGTGTACACAGGGTCCCAGTTACATCCAACAAAAGTATAAAATGTAAAAGAACAACAGTAATAAGTTCTAAGATATGAGCTAAGAAAAACATTACACTAAAAATACACTAAGCACTAAGTACAAAAACAATACGCTGAACAGCAGCACGAACATGAGTCTGTGTGAACAGATGAGCACGAATGAACACAGCAGCATGAAACAGATCAGCAGCATGAAACAGATCAGCAGCAACATGATGTGATTGTTCACAGTGATTATCCTGGTTAGAGATTCATGAGTCTAACAGGTTCAGGGTAGAAGCTGTTCCTCAGTCTAGTGGTTCTACACTTAATGCTTCTTAATCTCCTTCCTGAGGGGAGCGGGGCAAAAAGTGTGTGTGTGCTGGGTGAGTGGGGTCCTTCATGATGCAGGTGGCCCTCTTCCTGCATGTGGAGGTGTAGATGTCTGATGGTGGGTGATGGTGATGTACAGAGCAATACTCATGAAGACAAATTAAATTTTTACCAGTTTGAACTCATGAAGGTTCCTTGATACTACGATGGCGATGATCCCAGAGGCAATGCTCTGTAAGATTGAAACGATAAGATGAGCATCTCTTCAACAAAGTAAGCTTTATTAGATAAATAATCCTAGCCTCAGGTTGCAAAACTGCATCTTTAATTTGGATGCCTGGCTAAGATATAGTCAGACTGATTTTGTAACTCTTATGTTTTGTTTGCTTTTATTTGTTCGGCTCTCCCTTTCAGAGGTCCATTCAGTCAAAAGTAAACGTTAACACGGTTTTATTATGAACAAGCGTCAGGTTATCTGATAAATGAACGTAATGAGGCCTGCCCCAAAGGGACACTTGATTGGTTTGAAGAACCAGCTCCGCCACGAAAGGCAAGTTCAGTCCTGACTGCAGAAAAACGTTCGGCTGAGCTACAGGAGCGCATCAACCCACGCAAAGAACACAAAAGTCAAATAAAGGCATACGTGTTGTTGTTGGGCCTGGGTGTCTGAGGTGCAGGCCTGAACTGTGATTTTTAAAGTAGAATCTGGTGCAAGCATGCATTAAATCTTTAAAATTGTTACTGAATTTTTTTGTTCAACACCACATATAATCTAAGAACTGATTTACGCTGCACAACACTGTTTTTGAAGCGTGCAGCACATATTTTATGCACAGCAATGGAAGGAGAACGTGAGACGCTAACTGCAGATAAACTTGTTGGCAATGAGTCGTAACTCATTTATTTCAAACTTCGGGGGAAAAAATCAACAACGAAGGATGCTGCAGGATGAGGTGGAGAACAAGAGGTCTTCTTGTTAGCATCATAAAACATCAGTTTAACATGAAATGTTCAGATTTCTGTACCGAGTGGCCTTTAAAGGGGTGGTTTCTATCTAAACTCCTGAGCCGACTTTGAAACAAAGCAAAAATATAAAAGAGCGACTCACCAGCAAGCCAGAGGTTACAGAAATGATGTTGGCTACAGTGTACTCAGTGCTGATATGTTGGGTGGGTTTGGAAATGTGGCGGAGGACGCTGCCGTGAACAATGGCGCCAAGGATGAAGTTGATATGGCCGACCAGAATGAGAGTTAACCCCTTTTTCATCAGCCTCCCCGGCCCTTTGTCCTTATCTGGATGACAAAACACAAGGAAGTGTTTCTATATTTAAAGGTCTTGTGACAAGACTGTCAAAATAGGTAATTGAGTAGCAATTAATATTCTGTGACATCCAATCCCAAACACAGAGCAAATACTGGTTTTAAGTTCCTTCACTGTGACACCCTGAGCAATAAGTTCCCACTTTAGTGGACTTAATGATGTTACTTCAAGGTTTAATCAGTGGTTCCCAAAGCTGCGATGATCTAGCACAAGAGTCTTAAGATTTACAGTGATCAAAATTACTTAAAAAAAATACTCCCAGTAACATTTTTCATCTTAACTGTTAAAGATTAGACAATGAAAGGATTTAAAACTGCAGTAATTAATGCATAAAAAATATGATGGCTGATGAGGCTTTTGACACCATGTGAGATGTTGATTTTACTATTATTTATTTGATACTCCTTTTACCGTTTTAATTTTTATTGCATAGCTGTTTGTCTTTTTAATTTTTTTCTTGTATTTTATTCATTTTTTTGTGCTTTTTAACTTGTCTGTACAGCACTTTGGTTCTGTATGGGTATTTTTAAAGTGCTTTATAAATACAGTTGGACTGGAATAGTTATATTTAACCAGTAATAATAATAATCAGAGCCACAAGTCTACAGCAAGTTTGTACTAAATACAAACTTGGTTTAAAATTAATAAATCATTAAATTTAGATAAAACTAAATACATGATATTTAGTAACAAAAAGAGAACTGTTGATGATCCATTTAAAATTGAGGGTGTTGAGATTTGTAGAGTTAATGAGATGAAATTTTTGGGTGTAATCATTGATGAACAGCTAACATGGAAAAATCACATAAATTCTGTAAAAACAAAAATAGCCAAATCTATTGCAGTACTATACAAAGTCATGGAATTATTAAATGATAAAGCTCTGTACATGTTGTATAACACAATCATTGTTCCACATTTAATCTATTGCATTGATGTTTGGGGGAAAGCGTGTAAAACATTTACAAAACCTATTTTTATTTTACAGAAAAGAGCTGTAAGAATCATCACCAGAAAGCATTACTGTCACCCATCAAGCACATTATTTTATCAACTGAAGTTATTGAAGTTCCATGATTTGGTAGATTATAGTATTTTATCAGTTATGTATAGGGCTCAAAATAACAGATTACCATTAAATATCCAAAGAAATTTTGTTAAAAGACAAAGTTGTTATAATCTTAAGGGGATAGAAATATTTGTCAAACCAAAATTCAGAACTAGTCTGAAGGGAAGGTCTACCTCAATCCAAGGAGTTGGATTGTGGAATGTTCTAGAGAGTGATGTGAAAAATGCCAAGTCAATGTGTACATTTAAGAAAAAAATCAAAACTGAATTGTTAAAAAAGTTTATATGAAGTAGCTTAGTTTTGTATTAGAATTAGAAAAATTAGAGTTATTCATTTTGTTCTGTTACTTGAAGATTATTATGATTGAAATAATTGTTTGAAAAAAGGGGCAGATATAATAAGATTTTTTCTGCTGCCTTTCATTTTAAATCTTTTGTATCTTTTTTATATTGTTATGGAATTGTTTTGTACCTTTTTAAAATGAATAAACTTTATACCATACCATACAGCTTTTGTTTTATGGGTAAAGAGCTGAAATTGTTGTACTTTAAATTACTGATCACTTTTAATCCCACACCGGGAAGCTTCTCACATCAGTGATGAAACATGGGATGCTTTAGGCTCTTCATAATGATCCCAACCACAACATAAACACAAACTGCATATTTACTGACATCGCAGCATAATAAATCCTAAACTACTTAATTTAGCCTCCAAGTGCTTTGTTACTGAATCTTTACTTGCAGCAGTAATCATTAAAGACAACTGTTCAAATTAATATTAATTTTGCACAGCTAGTCGCTCAGTCCTTACAAAAAGGCCTGTGGTCAGGTACATCGTGCCTTTCGGACATTAGCGCGAAATAAAACCAACAAAACCCTTTGGTTTTTGTTTCGTTTCAGCAACTTTGTTTGACACCAAGAGCCACTCACCGAAGCTGCACATTTCTCTGCTCGGACTCAAGTCTTCCTCTACATAAAACTAGTTTTTTCTTTAGTTTGACCGTTCAGCACAATCCGCACCGCCTCACCCGTCCACTTCCTGGATGACGTCATCAACCCCTACCTGTGACTTACCTGAGGCGACAGGCTCCTGAACACTCCGTCATACATGCAATTAGTCCCACACCGAACAAAAAGGAGACGACGACGCGTTTATTTTTAAGAAAAAAAAGTTTTCTTTTACTTTTGATACTTGTCATTAGTCTCAGAAAAAGAGTCACGTACTGACACGTGTCGTTTACTAAACATATAAATGTCCAGCCAAAAGCTCACATCATGGAGTAACATGTTAGAGCTGCCAACCCTGTATGATTATTTAATAACCAGTTTTATCACCACCAACACAAAAAGGTGCAAGAGTACCAAGAGAGGCCAGATCGGGTGCAAAATATCAATATAAAGCTCTGGTGGTCACATTGATGCGTTTACATTCACCATGTTGACTTGAGCACATTCTTTGGGAAAATGCATTTTGTTTACAGAACATAAAAACAAATAAAAAATGTGATAGTATTAACACATTCCATGGAGGACAAACTGTAACCCAAATACCTCTGAAGTACTACTTCTAAGATGCACAGCTGCTTCTATTGGATGAGTACAAGAGTGTGAGGTGTACAACATTGTACAAATTGACAACCTGCATCAGATGAACAGACGCCTGAAAGCTCCAACAGTCTCCAATTAACAGGGAAAGTCATGACAACATTTGATTTGATTAAAATACTATAAAGGAAAATTTTACACACAACCATTTCTGGACTATAAACCTAAAATGTTAACATTAATTTGCACTCTTACTGCATGTTTTACTGCAAATTTAGACTTGCATGAGCTTTCAGTAACAGTAGGACCAAACGGTCCACAAAGTTCTGACAGGGTCAAGTGTCATGGAAAAAAAAAAAAACCCCACCCTGATCTCACTTTAGGTCAAATCAAGACCTACAGGATCCAAAATGTTGCACACTTTGAATAATAACATCTTGTTTTTGGTTGTACCTAATCGTCAGTCAACAAATATGGGATAGAAAAAAAAAGAAAAAAAAAAAAAGAAGAAACTTGGTCTTGGCTCAGACACTCCATGTCAGGGGTGGGCAACATTTTTCATTTTTATACAGAGGGCCAAATCACAATATTTAAAGCAATCGAAGGGCCGCATAGAGAATTAGATTTTTTAATTTTATTTTTAAGATGAATAATTTGGAAGACAATTTTTTTTTTATAGGATTTTTCTTGTAGCATAGTTAGCATGCTTGACACAATTAAGTGTCCCAGATACTCTTTAGGAAGATAAGACATTGTTCTTGTGACAATATATTTGTTAACTTAAAAAAAGTTTTCTTTTTGGAGCCTTTACAATTCAGACTAATCCTGGAACCACAACTTAAAAAAAAAATAAAAAAAATAATTGAGCCCATCTTAAAAAAGGCTTTAGAAGTATTTGTCCAAGATGTTTAATTTAGACTTTCTTGTGTTTCATTGATAAAATGCGGGTTTTAATTACTTATTTAAAAGTTTTTTTTTTTTTCCCAGTTAAGGATAATGGGGGCCTGATAGAGAGTGTCCAAGGGCCACATGTTGCCCACATCTGCTCCATGTGGTCACCATGTAAAAACCCACAGTGCAAAGTAAAACACTTGAAGTCCAGTCTCTGGCACATTTAGAAGAGCACTCAGTGACCTATCAGGAAAGGCAGTCTACTTTGTACAGGATATAATGGCAGAGTTCAGTACACAAGTCACATAAATTCAAAAGGCAGAGTAACATGTAAACTCAAAAAGCAGCAGGTGTAAAAAAATAATAATAATCAGTACAAAAGTGGACCCGAACGCACTTATACTGAAAATCGTGTACGTGTGTGTATATTAGATACCTAAACATGTATGTGTGGGTGTCCATACATACACACACACACACACACAGCAAGATATACACACAAAATACAATCAGAAATTTAAAGACACTGAGTTCACAGTACCTCAAAGTGAGCAGGCGATGCCATCCCAAATTGTAAAATACTAATACGTACATGCATTTTTTTTTTAGGCATTTTAAGAAGTCAAATGAAAAAGTTGCATGTCTAGAACCTAGATAAACCATTCCACATTTAACCTAAAAGGATGTTTGCTGGGGTGAACAAAGCATAAAGAAAGTAAAATGTTGGGAGTGTTCGATTGCACAAAGCAAAACAAGAATTAACTAAATGATGAGGATGATGAAAGGAGAGACCTGGATTAGTTTCTTTGGGTGGAAATCTCTCCATCACTGACAATGCAACTACTTTTCTCCAGGTGTAGAAACAGACATTAAATTAAAAAAGCACATGTGTGCGCGGTACCGACAGTGAAGGAGAGAATCAGCTGAACGTCTAAACGGGACTTTTATAGACAAAGTGATCTCTACTGTAAACAAAGAAGACCTGAAGACAAAGTCTGTTTCAATGTATTCCAGTCAGTTCTGTTAGGACCAAAAGATGGCTATACTAAAAATAGTATTCATCAAATTATTAGGCTTAAACTAAACAATGGTCAAACCATTTATAATATTTCCACATGTATAAATGAATATGCGCGCTGACGTTTAAAATAATAACATAATTCACAGCAGATCGTTTCTTTGAAGTTGACTACGGTAGATATATATGGGTATTTTGTGCAGGTTTGTGTGCTCATGTAGTTTTCTTTCTTGATGTAAGGGATGATTTCCTCCTTTGGTCACATCCACCAAGGGCTATGTAGAACAGACCCACCGGGGTAAACAAATGTTTACAATCATTTTGTTGAATATCCAAAAAGAGAAAGCAACAAGATCAAGAACACACTTCTGAGAAGACTCGCTACTGAAGAGCTTGGCTGTACGTCTCTTCGAGCAATGAAGAGATTTTGACTTGGTCCATCTGCGAAGAGCAAAGACACCTTTTAAACAACATCTATGCAGAAAAAACTGAAAACTGCTCCGGGTGTTTGGCACCAACATGAAATGAACGCAGTCTGAGCTTCAATCTGTTCTGATTTAGTTTTTCATTCTTTCTGAGTTTATGCTTTTTTGTTATCATTACTTGACATTTGACACAAGGTGATCTGATTTAGTATTTCATTGTTTCTAATTATGTTTTTTGTTTTATATTTTAACACCATATGCTGTAATTATGTTAATTTTTATTTGATGCTGTGATCTTTTTTTTCTTCTTTGTTAAGCACTTTGGTAGCAGTTTCTGTTTTAAATGTGCTATATAAATAAATCTGACTTGAATAACACAGCCTTTGCCTCAGTGAACCTGTTCCCAGTTATTCTTCTACTGTCAAATTCTGATATTCCCAGACCACTGCAGACCCAGAACGTTCTGCAGGAGCTGCATCTGTGGACACTATTGCCCAACTGTCTGTGGCCACACCTCATTGGTCACTCAGATCCTTACACTTTCCCGTTTTTCTGCTTTCAGCACATCAAGAGACCATTCATTTGCAGCCTAATATTGACCCCGCCCACTGTCAGGTGCCGTGGCAACAAAGTGATCAATGTTTTTTTACTTCACTTGTCTTTGGTCTTACACAGACACACACCTACAGGGTCTCCCATTCATTAAACCTACAAAACCACTCACCTCACTGATCAGACCCAGTTGGACCAACTCTTCAGCCAGTACTTGAACACTCTCATCTGAAACACACACCCCCTCAGTCAGTGGCAGTAATTTAAACATTTGTATGAACACTTCAATGTTAACTCAGCATCTCACACACACACTCACTAGTTTGGGGTTAGTTTAAATACAGTACAAAAACAATATAGTTCAAATTCTCCTTCAAATGAGCTTTTCGCATCTTTGAATCACCACAGTTACAAACCAGAGCTGCACTTGGCTCGGCTCCTCCCCGCTTCATTTTTCACTGCAGACAGTTCCTTCTTGAAGAACGCCAGGGTCATGAGAATGCACACGCAGAGGCCACTGTCTGCAGTGGAAGATGACACGCACGGTTTCCACACGTGCAAACCGACTGAAAACTTGCCGACAAGCACACCGTCGTGTTTATACTATTTTTGGGTCAATGGCACCTAAGTGTTCACCCCTGCATTTGTCTAATCAATCTAAAGTTTCACATTCCAACCTGATGAATGGCAAGAATGTGCTGCAAAGCCGATACGTCAACTGTCTCTTGTAAAGAAAATATGTTTAATCAGTTTGATAGAAGCCGTTTAACTCGATGTGTGTTCTTGTAGTTTCTGAATGATGAATTGTGTAACGAGGACAACAGCAGCAGTCCTCACACAGCTTCTGTTCCAAACATCATCTACTCTGCTCATGGGATTTTATTTTTGTTTGGGATGTAGTGTCGCATTTTAGTCAACATCCATCAAAGCATTAATAATAAGCTAGGAAAGTATGTATCAAGCAAGACAAACTTTTCCAATTTGTTTAAACCAGAATATTCTCAATATGGTAAAAATCTTTTAAAACTTGTTGGCTTTCAAAATACAGCCAACAACCATGAACAAAAAAGAAATGTATGCACACAGCTTAAGATAAAGAAACACTAGAAACACTGACAGTTTTTGCTGAAAACAAACAAAACAACTATTTACACCCATTCAGTTTTTTAAAGAACTGTATCACTGCTCTCTTTTTGTGGCTTCACACTTTAAAAACTCCAGCCTGCTAAGTACACTTTCATTTTTGTTAATGGTCTAAAACGAGATATCGTCTGAGTCGTCATGGTCTGTCAAATCTAATAACCATGATGACGTCAATTTCCATCATTAGCAGGATGGTAGCTGAACGAACAGACATTATGTGACATTAGGACAACAAAACACCAACAGAGCAGAGACGTATGAAATTTACACCAATATTCAAGCAGAGGTGGGCTTTCCAAATTGTTTGTTTTGAGCTTGATAAAGAGACAAAAAAAAGTAACCCAACATATCTGAGTACAATAACGCTTACATGTTCTGTATTAAAGCGATATTATAATAATCATTAATGAACAAGAGATTTATAGCAGTGAAACCATAATAGCCTAAGAGGTGAAATTAGATTGGCTCAGTTGGTGAACTCGTAGATTAACTTTGCACTTTGGTCGATAAGGAAAGCTTTCAAGAATCCCCCCCTCCCCCAACCCAGATATCAGCAAGAGTCTGTTTACAAAGAGCACAAGGTGTGTTTGTGAGACTGATAAATGTGTATAGGAGTGCATACAGATGCATGTCAGTGGGATTAAGGAGTGAGAGAGCGAAGCAAGACATTCACGGTTAGAAGCAGTGAAAGGGAGAAGGAGCAGAAAAGATACCGTCCAGTTACTGAACACGCTGAAGTGCGTGCAACTGTGTGTGTGCGTGCAGAAATGAGGGACAGATATATGAAAGCCTGAGAAGAGATTGGAAGGGGAGGTGACAGCTGTCAACTGCAGTCTTTTACAGTGCTGACATTCCCCACATGTCTGCAACATTGCACATGCTCAGATGCACCATACTGGTGTGTGTGTTCACATACATGCTCAAACTGACTACACCAGTCGCAATTAGAACAAATTACATTTTCTTTTGAGCAATGAAACTAAAACCGACGTCTGGAGGTCCATTATTGAAATAAACAAACTAAGATTTTTTAAAAATAAAAATATCTTAAAAAAACAACAACGTAGTGCACTGTTCAAATATTACACGCTATGAACACAGTGACAGTAGAAATAATGAGTCATTTGTTTTATTTGCTACTCTCCTCACACCCTGATGATTCATTTTACAATTTTTTTTTAAAGAAAATCTTTCAACAACTTCTCCAGCTTTTAGCAGTTTTTTTAAAAACAGTTTTTAAATCTAATTTTAGTAGTCATAGTTGTATAATTAGTTTTTAATAGTTCAATTCAATTCAGTTTATTTATATAGGGCCAAGTCACAACAGAAGTCATCTCAGGGCACTGAACATAAATATTCATATTTAAATAAGTTAAAAGTAACGGTACAATAACGGCTTTTTAATAATTCAACATTTCTTAAACAGAATATTCTGACAATTATTTAGAGATGAAAAGCGATTCAGAGTTAGTAAAAGTTAACCTGCTGTCAGCTGAAACATTAATCACTGCAGTTTTGTTTACAACAGACAGACAGTCTGACAGACTGACTAAAATAGTCTCAACTTTTTTTAAATGCTGCAACAACGTGCACATTGTGACACCATGCATGAACTCGGCAGCTCTTTCTTTATGCTCTTCAACACATAAACCGTAAGATCAAAAGTTAATCAATATTAATATTCAATGGTGAATAAGAGCAGACTTAAATTACTTGGTGATTCACAGATAGAACCATACATTTTATTTACTCCAGCTCTTTAATTCCTGCCTCTGAAAGCTAAATTGAAGCGGTTCCTAGGCCTGTCACGATAACAAGCTGGGCGATTAATTGAGTCAGAAATTATTGCGATAAATGATATTATTTGAAATTAGACAATAATTAGTCATTATTATCAAATTCAATTAGAAATGTTGGTTAATTTGTTTTGGGTGTAGTACCTTTTTTGATCACTAGATGGCAGTATAAGACTATTTGAACCAAAGGATGGATAGTGAGGGAGCAAGCAGCGTGTCTCTAAGAAAAATGGGAGGGAAGCCCCTTGACGTGACATAGGCTGTCACTCCTTCCTTGTTTTCGGTTCTCAAAATGGCGGACAATCGGTGTGGTTTAAGCTCTTTAGCGTAGCATTTTTCACACAAAGCTTTTAATGGAAAAAAAAAAAACAGTAAACAAGTTCTCAGCTTCTTTTTGCAGAGAAAAACAACTTTTTACATGAAGGCACTGGTTTCAATCGTGAATTTTGGAGCTTCGACAAGATGGAGGTTTTTTCCCCTGAGGTCGGCCTGTTAGCTTAGCTCGTAGCTTAGCTTCTCAGCTTAGCTGCTTTTAGCGATCCAAAAACATGATTTTGGACAGTTAAAATGGATTTTAAAGAGAAAAGAGAAAGGGATTGGTCAGTCAAGAGCACCAGAGTTGAGCCTTTTGTCATCCATTGTCTTCAGTAGAAAGAGAGACACAAAGAAACGATAAACCCAATAAATGAAAATGAGGTTGATCATTTTCATTTATCATGCGATTAACTGATTTATTGTTTATCGCGACAGGCCTTTCTTCGAAGAGAAGACAGGCTTTAGGCAAGCCAATTTGCCCTGTTGGCACACACGCAGCTGGATATCTCATCGACTGGAAGACTTGATGATGTGTCTGTCTCTGCTGCCATCTGTGGATTTTAAGGACGCATATTTAATTAGGTTTACTATAACTGGTTCCTGCTTTTTGGATTTGGCTGGTTGTGGTTTTATCTACAATCAAGGAAGTCGTTGGCAGTAAATTTGGACCCGATCACGCTGCTTGCCTTTATGATGGCTTGGTTCATGTCTCGAGTACCCGGACTCAAATGCTTTGGGCTGATTGGATCAAATTTTGGGGATTTTACTCAGTCACGTTCCATCGGTGTGGCCATGTAATTTGGACATTTCGGAACCGAGTCGACTAAAGCCCCCAGTATACTGCCGCGTACATCCAGACGCAGAGGTATGAGCGTACATACGCAGAGGTACGAGCGGTGTACCCCCCAGCGTACCCTCTGTGCAAAGCTCAAATTTTTACGACCGCATACACGTACGCGGTGTCGCACAATAATCTGCCCAGCGAGAGACTGTTTTGTATGCGACACCAATGTATTAAATTCCCCTTCTTCATCCCCGATCTGGCCTTTTCTTTTGTTTTTTTGCCAAGAGGCAGTGATCTCATCCTCCTCCGTTGATGCCATGACTGAAATGGTGAGAAATGGAGGAATTTGTCACGAGCGAATTAAACTCAGGTCCAGCGTGGCTGGGGAGAGTCTGGAGATTTCCTGGTGGGCTGGTCTGATGTGTGGGCTGTAGAGCCAGCGCTCACTGTTTTTTTATTTTTTTAGATCTTTTTATTAACAACCTATAAACACAGAACACCACTGCGGCGGAGGCTGCCAGCGCTCGCTTTTTTTCTTTTTTCCAACCTGTCAATCAGTCCAGTAGGCGTGTCAGCAAATGACCAATCGGCGACCGACCTTAATTTGTCCCGAAGGTAAACGCACCTCGTCTGTGAAGCTGCTCTGCAGCTGCTCGGGGTGTACGCTGGAGTATGAAGTCTGAACCCTCTGCGTACAGTACACGCGTACATACGCATGAACAGACATGCGCGGCAGTATACTGGAGCCTTAACACAGACTCAAGGTAGATGTCATTAAGTTTTGCCTGTCCCCAAAACAACTGTGTTTATCTGAATTTGGCTCCCTTGGCTGGCCTTGAAGGTCATCTTATCTGAATTCACCTGGAGAACGTGATCTGAAGCTCACCACCTCCTCCCTGAGTAATTCCCAACTGATAACCAGATGAAACCAGCTGAATAAACTTATGTCATCATTTCAGGACTCTTGGATTCTTATAGACATTATTCTTGGCCATTCCTCAACATACCTGGAGAATGTTTATGGATCTCACCGAAGGACATTGACTGATTATTCCACAATTATCAGAACTCTTACAGTGACCTCAAGAGCATCTATGAACATTGCTGACCGCTCTAGTCTCCCCGTCTGCAGATTGTCTACGTAAATATGTGCTTGTCTGTGCAAGTTTTTTTTTTTAATTATTATTAGAGGTTTTTTTTTTTCTCAGGCATGAAAAAAAATGTCTGATAGGAATTTTTTTTCGCCTCCAACTCCTACATGTGTCCAGTTAACCACTGCTTTTATCTGTCCAAACAGGTCTCGCTTGTAAATGAGTCTTTGAGGCTCAATGTGATTTATCTGTTTAAATAAAGGTTGAATGAATGAAAAAAAGGCCTAGCCATTCCTCAACTTTTCTGATGAGGAAATGACAGATGAGCGTACTCACAGCTGAGCAAGTTTCAGAAAGAACACGTACTAATTTGTTCAAGTTCCCTGAATCTCATCAGAGCAACACAAAGTTTTTATACGTACCTAACAAGGTTGAGTCAGGTCCTCTGGACAGGCTCTTCAGAGGACCTGACTCAACCTTGTTAGATCAATCTACCTGGATTATTGAGCACACATCAGGACCTTTTAAAGTATCCTAGTACTGACTTTTAGTAGCCAATCCAATCATGATGTAGAGGAAATTTCAAAGCTGTTGTGCACCAAAACTGTCCAACCGTCAATCGCTTGACTGTCATGTTGAGCTGCCGGCTGTGCCAGGGTCTCAAACATATAAGGAGCAGTGCCCAACTAGTGCTCCGCCACCAACCTTCTTATTCTGACTCTTCTTTGTCTCTCTCAGACAGTGACCCAAAATAATCTAAAGAAACATCAAATTCTTTGCTACTGTCCGTTAGCCATTGTAGCAATGCTCTGTTCACATGCAGGCCTTCCACTTTGTTGTCACCTTAAGTTAATGCACATGCATCTTTTCTGTTACATTTGTGACTTTATATCTCGACAACTTGTGAAATTATTTTTTGCAATATGTTAATATCATCTTTACAAAAAAATGCATTTTCATTTATCACATATTAGATGTCACATGCACTTTAAAAACTTGAGCAGTGTGCTTCAGTCAGCTCAAATTTGACTGGTTTGGTATTAAAACTACTTTTAAAAGAAATGATTTAGAGAGATGAGCAGAAATATGTCTTCAAATGTTCATTTGCTAGAGCGCAATACAAACTTAATGATAAGAGTTGATCTTACGAGGTAACATGTCGCAGCTGAGATGCCGATTCAGTTTGTCTTCCAGTTTCAGCAGTAACGTAAGCTACAAAAAGAGAAACAGATGACAGAGACTGTTATTTATTTTACATCTGTCTGGTTTGTTGAACAAATTGCTTGGATATTATGAAGTTGCTGTTGGTTAATGAGAAAACCTTAATGTTAAAAATGATCTCAATAAGAAATGATCAACCTATAAAGTCTAAAACAAACTTGCATGGTACTTTGCTCCCTCCTCAACAGGTTCTATGTTACATTGCATTTGAACGACCTGGAAAAGAAAAATCATGTATCGAAAAGACAAAACACAAGTTTAGAAAACATTAGGAACAGGATACATTTTTTTTCCAACATACAACACGTGTTCAGTTTAAGTCTTTGTACACACCCTTCGTGTCTCGAGCTCTGTGGGTTCAGGTGTGGGGGATTTGACCAAAGGAACGACAACAGGAGATTTAACCGTCTTTTGTTGAGCCTGCTGTGGACTCGGTACCCCAAATGCTGTCATTGGATAAATACCATTCCTGATCCAAGAAGGGTGGGAGAGATGAAGTGGATGTGGAAAGAACATGATCACAGAGGATAAAGGAGAAGAGTTTGAAAAGTTTACAACACACATATGTCAAAGAAGAAAGACAGATGATATTGGTAACATTCAAAATGAACAACACTGGATTCATAAAACCAATAAATCTGTGAAGATTCCAGGATACTTCTTCAGGAAGCCACTGATTAATAACAGATTGTGTATTACTGATTAACAAAGAGGTCAGAATAGTCTAATGGCCCACTACTGCCCTCATGTGGCCATATAATGTATTTTTATTTTCCTTGAGCTTACTGCACGTCTTCCAGGAATTTGTCCAGTTCCAAAGCAGGAAACTGTGACAGCCTAAAGAAAAACAAAAACAAAAAGTCACTTGAGGTAAAATTTTGAGATCTTGCTATCGTTGCAGTTTGAAGGACAACAGCTTTTGTTATTTACTTGAGCTGAACGTCCTCTTTAGTCACAGCAATGATCAGATTGGGATCCAGCTTTTTCGTCAGCTCCTCAAGGGCATTTTCAGGAATCACATCTTAACAACAACAACAAAAAGATCACAATAATAACCACAAACCTTTAAAAACAACACATCAGTTAGGGTTCAAGTTACACAACATGTGTCTTTATCAAATTGTTATTTCACTGTCAGCAGCAGCTCACAAAATTTACTTATAAAAGTCATTACAAAGCAGGACTTTTTAACTTTAAGTGCAGTAACTTTTTCAATACTATTTTAAAATTTCCATTATATACAAATACACACATTTCTGTTTAAATATTTTGTCCCTGTATTATAAACTGCAATGCCAGTGAGCAAACACTCAACTGTTCAAGCTCTTTTTTTATTCAAATAAAAATCTTGCTGTTTTGCATCAAATTATGTTTGTGTGTGTGTTTGGGACTCACGATGGTGGCTGACAATACAGTGCGCAGCCAACAGCTTCAGGAGAGGCACTTCGAAGAGAGCCTGGTTAAACAGCAGCTCCCGGGCCGTCGGCCTTACGCTGGGATCATTCTCAAGGCACTTCTGGATTAACTTCTTTAAACAAACAAAAATAAAGTTGCACACATCTAAAACAAACACACTGATTATAAAACTGAAACGTCAAACAAACAATGACACACAAAAGAATATCACGGACATAAAACGTCTCATCCATGTTTAAATTATGGATTGTGAAAGTGTTGGATCTCACCCTCTGCAGCGGATCCTCCAGTAACTGTATGGCGGTGTCAACAGCTTCCTGAGAAACATACGAGGAGTCTCCATTTCCCTGAATTTCTAAAAGTGCCATCTGCAACACATCAAGATGTTGTTACAAACATTTAAACCTATAAAGACTACAGCTATCAAATGCAGTATTTTTGAACATACCTCTAAGGCACACATGCCAAATGAATAAATATCTACAGCCGTGGTAACTTCATTATCAGCTAAAATGACAGGAAAAAAGAAAGAGATGTTAAATATCACTTTAAAGCATAGTCCTGATGTCAGACCAAATATCAAAGATGCTGTAAAACTTAAAACAACAAACTAGCTAAATACAAAAAAAGTTACAAGAAGATAAATACTAATACTATTTGGCTGTACTTGTATTCTCAAAACAATAGAATGATAATATTCATATTGGATTCAAGGCATCTTTTTATTTTCTATTTATGAATCTTCTTTTAAAGTTATAAATATATATAACATGGATGAAGAAAAGCAGTAAAGTTTCACTCTAGTGAGGTCTACCTCCATATTCAGGAGCAAAGAAGTGCAGGTTTTTCTGTTCCTCGTGGAATGTCTTGACGTGGTTGTTGATGGTGTCTGGAGCAACTGTAGATGAGAAAAAAAACATTTATTTTTAACAAAAACAAGTAGTAAGTGAAGTGCAATCAGAAAGATGAAATATAAAAAAGTAAACGGAGTAAGAAAAGGATGAATGTGATAAAAGGATTAGGTGCCTCAGAGGAAAATATATATATATATTAATAATATTAATGGCCTCCCAGTTTTATTCAACAATGATGCTTAAAAATGTTTAGGATCAATTTAAATGCAGCAGACTGTAAACCAACATTTAAATACAAAACTGAAAGAGAGATTTTGACTGCACCTTCTAAAATGTGTTTGGTTCCTTTAAACAATAATATATTAAAAAAAGTATGTCACATAAAAGTTTAATTGTGAAAGTGAATTGAAATATTTGGACCTTTAATAATTTACAGCTCCACTATCAAAACCACTGGGATGAACCCGGTGTAATTCTATACCTGATCCGATCTTAATGAGCCCGTTGTGTTGAATGAAGACTGTGTCACAGGTAAGGTTCCCATGAATGATAGGTGGGTCACATGAGTGGAGATAACTGCACAACACGAAGAGAAGAAAATGAAAATTCAAAAATACAACGTACTCGCTGAGAATCAGCATTATTACCAATCAACTGCATTTTGTTGTGAAAGAAAACCAAAACCTGACCTGAGAGCAGACAGGATCTGTGTGCACCACCTCTTCCATGCCTGTAAGACCATACACTCCATAAGAAACAGCAGTACACACATTGTGGATCCCAATCCCATTTCACCCCAAATCATCCTAACAGCTAGTTTTCTGCTTTACCTTTTCATTCATGGTTTTATGGTTTTTCTTTGTTTTCTTGAGAAACTGCTTCAAGCTTCCAGATGACATATATTCAGTGATAAAAATCACCTAGGAGGATAAAAAACAGCAGAAAGACGCTATTTAAACATAAATTCTAATTAGTAACCCTATTTATCCAGCTGAAAGAGGAATTATTGTGTTAGAAGGTTTGAGACTCACTCTCGCCCTGTTGTCCTTTGTGTCAGCCCAATACTTGTGAAACTTGACAATATTGGCATGTTCCAAATGAATGAGATTATCAAATACAGCTTTGACTTTTTCCTAAAGCCAGGCACAAAGAAAAGCATAAAACTCATCAATATTAAATACGTAATGACTTAAGATTTTACTGTAATGTCAAAATCAGCTTTACTGTCACTGCACTGAAGTGCAACGAAATTACATTTCAGTACAGCCTGTCCAAGAGAAACATAAACAAACAGACATGGGGGAGACGGAGGTGACTGAGGCCTCAGGCCTTGAGAGGCGCAGCCTTTTTTTTCCCAGATAAGGAAAAAGAAACACAAGGGGGAGTGTAGGTGTAAAAAAATAAAAAATAAATTAAAAAAAGTCAAATCTTGCACTGTGTCCTAGATGGGACACAGCGTGAAAGTAAAAAAAAAAAAGACCTCAGCACATGAAACAGCAACATACTGATGACATCATAATACATTTATGCATGAGGAGGCTGACGAGGGCAGTGAGTTGTCCGTGGACTCTGCCAGAAAGTTCCATAGTCCTGATGGAACAGTGTCTATCAGCCAGCTCAACTCTGACACAGATCCACAGATGTCCCCGGGAGGGGAGCAATAGGGGAGTGGGGAGCAGAGCTTCTCGTTCATATAAACAACCAGGAGAAGTTGAGATAGCTGACCAATTCATGGCTAAGTGGGGAAGCCAAATACAGATAAACAATTATTTTGGGTCAGGCAGCCTCGGCTTGAATTTCCATGTCTGCCTTCATAGTTCTGCTGGTACGTCTCACTGGCGATTCCAAACAATCTAATTTTGTGGTCACAACACCGTACGGAGCTTGTAGCTTCTCCAAGGTTGATTCCTTCCTGCCAGTGAGTCGCAGGAACCACAAGTGGCCTGCGATTCTCAGAAATCATGTCCAGCTTATAGCTCAGCTCATGCAGCGTCTGAGTCTGAGAGCTTACCCCTCGGAACATTCCTTCATACGAGGCAGGCAGCCTCACAATTGCCAGAACCGCTGCTGCCGTCTTCCGACTTTTTTGATATGCCAGATACCCACCAACACAAAAAAGCAGAAATCTGGTTATCATAAATTCAATTATGTACGCGCCTTCTACATTTTCAACGGACAATACACAGACACACCATCTTCCACTGGCCCCAGGAATCCATAGTGTATCCAACTGTGGGTGTCCCTTCAGGGCATGAGGGCTCTCCTTCGCCCTGTCTTCTCGTCGAGAAAATTTTGTCAATTGCGTTGAGACCAGCTGACCAGATCCATAATTTACAATATGGAGGATATGTATTGAGAGGCATCACAAGACAAAGAGCAAAGCAGGAGGGAGGAAGGAGCATGACGGAAAAGTGTCCGTCCTCGTCGAGGGCAAGCAGGAAAAAAAAGCGGAAATAATGCCACAAAATAATTGAATTAAAATACTACAGATATAAAACAAAGGTTGATGTCTAATTAGAGCTACCACAGAACAAGTGATACCCTACTATAACATGGGAAGTAGTAATATAGTAGATAATTTAATATATTATTTATATTTCATTTTGACCTCGTATATGAAAGGATCATCAGGTCTATCAAAACAAGCAGTCACTTTTTTCTTTTACATACAAATCACCCCTGAAGTAAGACGGAAGACAAAACATGTTCTGCTGCGCCATAGTTATCTGACCGCTTCATCGCATAATCTACAAGCTTATCTGTTAATTGCTTTATTCCTCATCTGCATCACTGGGCCTCACCTCCAGAGGTTTGACGTTTTTCTTCTCTGAAATCATAACTTCGTTCCAAACTACCTCCACCCCTTCTTCGGTGTCCATGGCCAAATATGCAACATCTATCCCAGGGACATTGCGCTGATTCACCTGCATGCAAGGACAGAAATGACCCTTTATATCACATATTTCAAAAGAAAGAAAATGAAATTGACCTCAAAATCCAGAGGTTCACCAAAGAACCACAAACAAAATTGTGAGTGTGAATAACTCACAAGGTAACGACTAACATTAGGCAACATCAGTTTCAATGTCTAATCTTTTACATGTTGAATGTGCCTCATACCAAGTTAATTTTGCTGACTTTAGTGTCTGTATTAATGGTCAAACATTCTCAATTCAAGATTTCAAATACTGTAAAACTTGGATGTAATTTTTTTTATAAACTGAATGAGCATCAGTTTCCCTACTTCTCTTTCTCAGAATAATTTTCAAAAGTGACCCAACTTCTTCAGTTTACCATGCATATATATACTGTAAGTATATTACGCTTCTTCTGGATGTTAACGTGTGTATAAGCAATATAAGAAAAGAGTCCAGGCAGGAGTGAATTGAGTGGATAGAGAAAACTTTCAAGAGGGATTTGTGACATAAGGGTGGCAGAAAAAAAAAAAAAAAAAGAGAGAGAGAATAGTCAAACCAGCTATGTTTTAAGATTTGGAGACAGTAGCACTGACAAAAAGACAGGAGGAGACTGAACTGGAAGTGGCAGAAATCAAGATGTTGAGGTTCTTCTTAGGAGTGACAAGGATGGATAAGATTAGGAATGACATCATCAGAGGTACAGCACGGGTTGAACAACTGGAAGATAAAATTAGAGAGGTCAGACTGAGATGGTATGGACATGTCCAGAGGAGGAACAGTGGATATATTGCTAGAAGGATGTTAGAAATTCAGCTCCCAGGAAAAAAACACAAAGAAGAGATGCATTGGAGGAGGATGACTCCCTCTGGTGACTCCTGAAAATGGAACAGCTGAAAGAAGAAGCAATATAAAACGTGAAAATACTGAAATTTACTATATATTGAATGGATATGAGAGGTCAAAGAGTATGTCCTCCCCCCAAATGCTGTTGAAATAGGATGAGATTTTCAACACAAACATCTTCCCCCCCAATAGTACATCTAATAATAATAATTGGTTTAACAAATGTTTCATTGGAAATAAAACTTTAAGCCAATTTGTAAATGAATGAATGTGGTGCAGATGCTTGGGTTACAAGCAGTCACCTCCTCTCGACGTTTCTGCCACCGGCCACAAGGACTCTCCTCCAGGATGTCCGATTCATCTTCACTCTCATCCTCATCCTCTGTAGCTGAGGTGGCTGCAGGCTTTGTGGAGGCCAGAGAGGAAGGGACCTGCGCAGTGTTACTGCTGGACGCGTTCCCGGTGGAAACCTCTGGCTTCCCCTCCGCACCGGGAGCTACTTTCACCTCCGCCTCCGACGACATGCCCTGCCTGTAACCTTACGCTTCGTTAGGTTTCTGGTTCTGGACAGAAACAAGTGATGGGATGCCTCTATCCCCAGCTCTCCTCCCGCTGTTTGAACTGGTCAGAAACCCATTTTATTTTACACGACCAGGCCACTGATGAAATGCTCCGGGAAGAAGGGCTGCAAACATTAACAAAATGACATTAGCGTGTTTAGAGAGCTACATGATTTTCTTCACCTTTACAACCATTAATATTAACAAAGTTAATAAAAGCCAAAGTTAATGTCCTGCGCACGCTTAATAACTTTGACTTACGAGGACGTGGCGTAAGCAGAACAATCTTAAAAATAACTCGGCTAGTGTTAATTCTTAAAGCTAACTTCAACCATTAGCTTAGAGTTCAAACACCAATAGTTTGCTAACTTTCTCTCGGCTGGTAAATAAACAAACAGGTTGCTGTCACAAACAATTTTGAATACGAATGAACAGAATCTTACCCAGGAACACAACATGGCCACAAAAATATGTAGTTTCGAGTTACATGTTCGGGAAAGCAGTAAATATTTTGTGAAGGCAAACATGCTAGTTCGTCATAAAAAAAGTAGCATCTCGAGTGAGTCCCCTTTTCCTCATCAGAGGTGGGAGGGGCGGGGCGTGTCTCGAGAAGCGCAGCGCGCGCATAGAAAACGCATCGCTGCCTAGAGTACATCGCGTACCAATCAATTAGGCAAGTAAAGTTATCATATAATTAAAGTTGTTCCTCGACAAAATAACATTTCATCTATCCAGAATGTCAGTCGCACGACCAAAGTGTTTGATATGTCAAATGTTGCTATTCTTTGCTTGTGTGTTTCTAAAACAAATAGGAAATTGAATATATATATATATATATATATTTGAACCCCACATGCTAAAATATCCACAATTCTCTTATTAGTGAAAATATTTATTTTAAATATTCAAAGTGAAAATGAAATAAAAGTTATTCTCGACATTCTCTAATACAAAATGCTAACAACAACAAACAAACATGTTTGCAGGATATTCAAGTAGTTAAATAAGAAACAAACATTACCTGAAATAGAAATATTTATAGATAAACACATAACAAAAAACGTTATTTGTTCTCGGAAGAATGTCACTTGAAATAGCTGAACTGATGATTATGAATCAGAAGAATGGCATTCAGTCCCTGAAATGCTTTCTTGACAGGTATTTGAATTATGAATACTTTGTATTACATTTCTATTCTAGACATTGTCTTAAATTACTTTTTTTTTTTTTAGGATTTTTAAATTTTAAACAGTTTTTTCAAATACAATCTCAGTTTGGAAAGCCATTCATTTTTACAAGTATGAGGAAATGCGTGGATTGATTATATGTTACAAATACTTGCCGTACATCATTTTGGCTACTTAGGCAAAGCAAGAATTTAGTTTTTGCCCTCGCTTTGTGACACATTACTTTGTTTATGTTTAATATAAGTAATCAAACAGAATAAAATACTTATTTATGTCATTTTTATCCGTTTTTACCACCGTCCAGCGGTGCAGCTAAACTCATTACAAATCACGTCGTCCGTATTTGCTACGGGTTGAGAATAAATGTAAAAACCGTTCATTTTGTTTAACTCTTTAATCATTATCGGTTATTTAAATCATGTGCAAAATCATATCAATATCTCTGCAGCAACGCATATTAATAAAGAGGCGAATATTTTTCAAAGCTACGCGTTTAAGCGAAACAGTCATGTAGGAGGGGGTGAACTATCTTGCCTCTGCTGGAGCCAGAGAGCACAGCTGTTCCACGATGCTAAAACCCTGCGCAACCTGATGGCCAACGATTTACAAGCAGGACAGTGATGCAAGCAGGCTTGCTCGAAAAAAATAAGAGGGCTTTAGTTTGAATAAACATGGCTGTCTTGTCGTCTGCCCTGTGGGTTTTTATAGAGACTGGCGCAGCGCTCGCAGGTCGCGTGTAGCAGATTTTTAATGGAAGCTGGGACGAGGGAGACGTCGTGAGGCTGGGGGAGTCGGAGCATCAGCTGAGCGGAGAGGAGGGTTAGCAGGCTAGCCTTTGTGACAGAATAGTTATAACACAACAGTCTTCTGTCGTAAAACAGCCTCTGGTTCGGTTCAGTCACCATGGCCACAAATGGAAACAGCACTTCACCCGGGATGGGAGAGATCATCCAGTTAAATGTCGGTGGGACAAGGTAAGCCTATATCTGATGCTAAAAGGGTCTTCTTTCTGTAAATTTGAACTTTGGCCAACTGTATGATCATTTCTGGATGATGCATCAGTCACGGATGTAAATGGAGACAGACGACATCATGCCATCATTACTGCTCTGTTACACTGATAAATAATTCAGATTGTACACAATGTACCATGTCTTCAAAACACAATTCATTATTTGGTTTTATTCTACATCAGTCAGTGAGCCTGGAGTCTTTTCCTCAACAAAAATCTAGTAAAAAAAACAAACAAACCCAACAACATCATATCAGGCTATGATTGTGCACTTGTTAAAAAGATATGCAGTTTATAATAATCGAGTTTTTTTTTTGATACTGTAGGTTCAGCACCTCCAGACAGACTCTGATGTGGATCCCAGACTCTTTCTTCTCAAGGTTTGTTCAACTGTGTCAACACTTTGAGGCTTTGGAGACGCACTTGATGTACAAGTTGTGTGTTTGGATCATTATAGAAGCGCTCTTCCTTCTTTATTGCTGCATGCCCATCCATTCACTGGTTGAGCTGTTTTACTTCTTTCCTTATAGTCTATCAGAGACATCGGTGTACTGCACTGAAAGGTAAAGACAGCTGCCAAGCAATATTGTATTACGGAAATCCCATTCTGCACAAAACAAAAAGTGTCTGGGTGTTTCATTTCTCTCCTTTTTGTTTTAACCTTTTATCATTTATGTGGTGGAATATGTGAGATGTGAACAAGGCTGGCATTTCTATAAGGCGGTTAAAATTAAGTCTATCCATCTATCTATCCACCCATCACTAATTTCAGGATGTTGGAAACAGTCACAGTAGTACTTGCCTAGACATAATGTCTGATGGTTGGAGCTGGACTAACACTGGACTGCAGCTGAGTGTGTCACACTCTGTGCACCTGTCTGTGTGTGTGCTGCTTTCAGCTGTGCCTAGCTTTCAGTCTTTTAAAATAAATCTTGAATGAGACTGATTGTGCCGGTCCTGACCGAAGCATGCGTTTGGGCTAACAGTCTGGACCTCAGCGTCAACATGTAATCAGAGTTTTCAGGTCACTACTAGTAAGTGGAAACGGAGAACGGTTCAGGCTAACTGGAGACCGTCGTGTGTTTTGCAGTTTACTGAGTGGAAGGATATCCACTCTTCGGGATGAAACTGGAGCAGTGAGTAGTCTTTGTTGCTTCCCACTTTCTTACTAAGAACAGCACTGTTGCATATTGCTGCTGTATATTTACTACATGCAATCTGCAGTTACTTCCTTACAAAATTACTTAAGTCAAGTTAGATAATGCATGATCCAATCACATGTTTGAATGTTCAATCTAATCTAAAGTCCCGATTCTCACTTTCAGATATTTATTGATAGAGATCCTACAGCGTTTGCACCAATTCTCAATTTTCTCCGAACCAAAGAACTGGACTTGCGGTAAGATGTCAAAAACAGTTTTAAAAAATGCGCTCGACTATTTTATATGGACGTTGTGTCTGTTTAACAGCTGAGCTTTACACAACGCACTTGATGCTTTCTTTTCTCTGTAGAGGGGTCAACATCAGCGTCCTGCGACATGAAGCTGAGTTTTACGGGATAACTCCTTTAGGTGCGTTGGTGAACACAGTTTTGGAGCAAACCAAGTTTTGTTTATTGAACATAATATTGATACAGAAACAGAAACCGTGCTACTGTTTTTGGTTAAGAGGTGACAAAACTTTATTTTGCACAGTCACAGAAGCCACAAATTGTCTTCTTTTTTTTTATATATATAAAATACTTGTTCAACCACAAAAGTGAGCTATTTTTAAAAGAAATTTGAATTTGAAATGTTTTTCACGGTTAGCGTTTGAGCTTCAGGTACAACCTAATCAAGACAAAACCACTGACTGTTACTTCCATGTAGATGTTGTGTTACTTCCTGGTTTGGTGTTTCTAACTTCCCTGTGTGAATTGAAAAGTTACTTTTGAGTAATCTCTCCTTAAAATGTACAGTCTGCACTTTATTTAAGATGTATAATTATGTTCTTAGCTTCTAATGTGTGTTTTTGTTTAAAACGTGCAGTACGGCGCCTGCTGCTGTGTGAGGAACTGGACCGCTCGTCCTGCGGCAGCGTCCTCTTCCACGGTTACCTGCCACCTCCAGGTAGAAACAGAAAACTGAAAAAACTGCTAAAGGAGTTTTTGTCTAAAACAAATCGATGGAAATGATCTTTTATGTCAGGGAATATTTTGAAAAGCAGAAATCAGTTTCGTTTACACATTTTGACACGTTTTCTCGACAGCCATCCCTCCCCGTAAGCCGAGCTCTGCCTTGACAGCGTCTGACGAGCGACCGGGTCCAAGTGGAGCGGAGGGCTTCACCCGTGTTGGTCTCCTTCCTCACCCTTCCTTGTCGGACTCAGCTGGCATAAATGACACAGAGAAACTAGGTAATAAGACAGAATACGTTCAATATTTATCTTTCTCACAGGGAAAGAAAAAAGTCAATGTGTCATTTTAAGACAGGCTAAAGGTTTACGTTGTGCTGTCTTCCTCCTGATGGCCCTTTACAAACCGTTGAGCACTTTTTCTTCATTTCTGTGTCAAATGCATGTCACAATGAGAGCGCATGACCGTAAATGTTTGTGTTCCTCAGTGAGAGTGCATTAGGGCTGCAGCTAATGTGACCTGAAATCCTTTTAGTGCACTGACTAACTGCATAGCCTGAAGAAGCGTACTTTTTACATGAGCCAGATATCTGCTGAGCATATTGGAGAAATATTACTATATAAGTATATATATATATATATACATATATAACTTTTAGTTATTCAAAATGTTACAAGAAGAAAATAAAGTGAAACTGTCGATTTATTGAGCCTTTCCGGTACTGAAAGGAGATTTCTGTGTTGTGTTTGTGTGCAGGTCCCATGGTTGACCCCAGGAAAGTATTGATTGTAGCAGGACACCACAACTGGATCGTAGCAGCTTATGCACACTTCGTCATCTGCTACAGGTAGTTCTGTAACCTTCCTCATGCTTCTCTGTTTTAATTAGCACGTCACGGTTTGTAGCGGGATCGAAGCCAGGAAATGCAGCACAACACGAGGAGCTCTAAAACCAAGATGTTTAATTACAGTAGTCCCTCGTTTATCGTGGGGGATCTGTACCCTGAAGACCAGCGATAAGTGAAAAACCGCGAAGTAATACGAGATGTCTTCACATGTGGTATATATATATATTAAGATGTTTTAAACCCTTCCCACATTCTTGCATTATTCTAAACAATGTTTTTAAACTCAAAACGCTCTAAAGAAAAAGCACAGAACATGATGATTTCAGCTCCCTGCCTCCGCTGCTCTCAGCCACCTGCAAGCGCTCGTGGCCACGCCCACTTAGCATGCTTCGCACAGTGAACAGCTGATCAGCTGCAGCAGGACGTTTATCCTGCAGTGTGGGCTGCACAAAGGTGCAGCAGGTGCTAAATACTTTAAAATAGTTTATTTTAAATAAAAATTCCATGCCGATCGTGCAGCTCATCTATCAATCCGTCATCATGTGTAGTGTCCAGTCTTATTTTGAAAAACCGCGATAGAGCGAGTTCGCGATAAACGAACCGCAAAGTAGTGAGGGACTACTGTATATCAAAAAATAATGCTAAAAATAAAAATAAAAGGCTGGTATGGCAGTGAAAGATACGAAACAAAATAAACTCGAGAAAACACAGAGGATAACCAAACAGGGCGTGGAAGCACAATGCTAAGACCGCAGGTGGGGTGAAGACTGGGAGGCCGCACAGACCAGTCCATCTTTCTCCTCCTTTTGGCCATAAATCACAGATGGAACCAGCCATGTCCTGCACAAAGTTTTCAGAAATGAAGTGAGCAGTTCTGAACCAAAAGAGGTTTGGAGCAGAACTCAGCTGAACTGATGTGGAACTCAACACATTAAATGAGTGACTGATGTCTCCCTCGTATTGTTTTCAAAGCATGATGAATTAACTCGCTTTAGAGGTTCTCTTTGTGGTTAAATAAATTTTGTAACTAAATTCACAGTTACTGTGCCTCATCATCAATATTCCCTCTGTAATAAATTTGTTATTTAATCTTGAAACCAGCTTTTACCATCACTTCATCACATCACTGATCCGTGGCACCGGTTTACTTTTTCACATCGGCCATTTGTCTTCTGTTACTACCTTGCTTTGTGGCACAAAGTCTCACCAGAGGTGCGCTGGTTTCAATCCCCCGCCACCTCGGCCCATTCAGAAGTCACAGAAACTGTTTACGTCCTGATTTGGACAGTCTTAGGAAAATGCTTAAATGGACTGAGGCTGATGAGGAGGTTGAAGATCGGTGGCCTAATGGTAACAGGGAACAGGTGAAGGTGGGCGTGGCAGGTCAGAGGAGCAGGAGCTGATGGAGGAAAAGTACTGAGAATAACTGGAAACGCAAGAAGCCAATGGAACAAACTGAAGATAAACTATAGAGTAAACATTACAGCAAACTTAGACTAACCAGGAATGTCAAAGGAGACACAAAGAACAGGAACATGAAAAAACTAAAATCTGTAAATTTATCAAACAAAAACACCAACACAGAATCACGGTATAGCTTTTATACAAAGTTAAATTTTTATCTCTCTTCTATGAGTTAATGCATTTAGTGAAAATTTGTCCACTTTTTTTAATTTTATTTTTTACAGTTATTGTTAGAAAACAAATATAATCTGCTTTTATAATGAACAATCACCTCTACATTTGTAATACGAGTTAAATAAATCTTTGGACAGATCTGAAACCAAATGGTTTGATTTTATTTACTTTGTTATTGTTATTTACTTTGTTATAGTGTTATTGTTCTCGCACACATTTATATAAGACTCAAAGACTTTATCTAAAATCAGACTTAGATGTTTTTTTTTTCAAATAGCTGTTCACGTTTTATATCAAATCCTTAACAAAAAAGGGAAGGTAAGAGCATGTTTGTGTGTGTGTGCTCTCACTGTAGGATAAAGGAGTCGTCAGGGTGGCAGCAGGTGTTTTCCTCACCCTACCTTGACTGGACTATTGAACGTGTTGCACTTAATGCCAAAGTGGTGGGCGGGCCGCATGGAGACAAAGACAAGATGGTGGCTGCAGCGTCTGAAAGCAGAATCATCCTCTGGAGTATCCAAGATGGGGGCAGTGGTAATGAAGTAGGTGGGTTTAGCATGTTTGAAAGGAGACTACACGGACAAAAAAAAAAAAAAAAAAGACCAAACACTCTTTCTTCCGATGAATTACAGAAGCCAGCTGAAGTGGTTTTTTTTAATATATACCAACAGTTTGTTTTTTCGACTTCCCCTTTTATTTTCCTGCACTTTTCCGAGCTCCTGCATGAAGTGCTTGCTAACTGAAGTCATTCTCTGCGCACGCTGATCAGGTGTGTTCAGCCTCGGTGTTCCTGTTGACGACCTCTTCTTTATTGGAAGCCAGCTGGTGGCTACAAGTCACACAGGAAAGGTTGGCGTGTGGAATGCTGTCACACAACACTGGCAGGTAAGGATGTGCTGAGGTAAGACGAGGAGCAGCAGAGACTGTTTGTACTTCTTCTGCTTGTGTCACTCTGTAAAAACAAATGTGTTGAGAGGGGAATGCCTCTGTAAGCACATGTTCAACAAGATGTTTCACTAAACTGAGAGCTTGTTTTTTTACAATATTCTGACAATATTCTGTTTCCTATCAATATTAAATGGACTGATTTAATTTTTTATCAGGTTCAAGATGTGGTTCCCATCACCAGTTGTGACACAGCAGGGTCCTTTCTCCTCCTGGGCTGCAACAATGGCTCCATCTATTACATAGGTACACACAAACACACACAGTGTAACCAGTCTTTTGTTTATTGTCTCACTTTTCTGAATGCTTGTGAAGATTATTGGAAGTCCAGTTAATGAATAAGGATATGATGCATTAATCTTTTTTTTTTTCAATTACCGCATTTAAATTATTTATGAAATCACCATTATGAGATTTTACTTTTTATTAAAAATATTTAAATGTGTCAGATATAGTCTATGATGTGGTTCTGATCTCGAAAAACGTCATCAAGTCTGAACATCTTGTTCTCAGACATGCAGAAGTTCCCACTGAGGATGAAGGACAACGACCTTTTAGTCACAGAGCTTTATCACGATCCTTCAAACGATGCCATCACTGCTCTGTCTGTGTACCTCACACCTAAAACCAGTACGTACCTTTGTGTATATGAAAATGGGACATTTATTGAAGGATGTATTTGATTTTCCTTGTCCTTTTCCTGTCCCATCATTGTGTCTCGTTTTGATGGAGTTCTCCCCTCCATTGATCCATTCTGCTTCATTCACAACATCATGGTTGAAATCAAAATGAAGCCACATTTAACTGTTTTTTGGCTTAAATGGACACAAACAAAAAAAAATGTTATGCTATAAATACCAATTTACCGTACTTACCACCGTACACGTCACATCTGTCCAAAAATGTCTAATAAAGTGGAAAAAAACATAAATAAGTTGCTTCGTCATACAAGTCCCATCTTTTATGCATCGCGTTTGTTATGTGTCACCACTGAACACCCGAAAATGTGGGCCGGTGTTGTGCCAAAAATTGATTGGCTGCCAAATGGCGGCCGCATGCATGGGAGGACTTTAACAAGAATTTAACAAGATTAACACTTAAAAACTATTATTTGTTTGATCAACATTATAGTAAAGTTGTGTCTCAGTTGAACTTTTCCTTAATAAATGCACTTTAATGGTCAAATCAGCTGCATTTCTCCTGGGCATTGCGGCAAAATGCAGCTGATTTGACGTTTTCTCCAGGAGTTCCAGAGTGAGATGAAGGTGGCTCTGTATGGCAAGCCAAGTTTCTCATTAATAGCAACTTTTACCTATTAATGAGACGCTTGGCTTGCCATATAACTTGAGGGCCCTCTAGCGGTGGAAAATGGTAGTGTTCAATATTTTCCATGTCAAAAGGAATGAAATCATCAGATGTCAGCTAAAAATTGTATTATAAATATGTGTGTGTGTGTGTGTGCGGGGCAGGACACCTAAAAGTCGCTTCGGTGTATAGGTCACAGGACTTGCAATTTTATGCAAAAAGGTGTGACTTTTACAGCAAAAAATACAGTACTTGATTTAACTGGGGTGATAATTGTATTGTATTGTAATGCATTGGGTTGGACTGTATAAAACTGGATAGGCCTTGATGCTTTAATTTTTTTCAAAACTAGTGCTATATTAAAAAAAAGCTCAATTTAAATTTAGTTGTTATATAAATGTAAAGATAGAAAGACAGTTTCATATGTAATGTTTTCTATCTCCTATTTGTGTCTGCTCTCAGGTGTGAGTGGGAACTGGATAGAGATAGCCTATGGGACCAGCAGCGGGGCAGTGAGAGTGATTGTGCAGCACCCAGAGACAGTGGGATCAGGTCCTCAGCTCTTTCAGACGTTCACTGTGCACAGGAGTCCAGTGACAAAGATTATGTTGTCCGAGAAACATCTGGTTTCAGGTGAGCAAGGTGCAACAAGGCAGTTCATACCTGCTCCAGGCTGCAGACACTAACCATCATCTATTTTTTTTTTAACAACTTTTTAATGTAATTGCATTCGTTACTTGGCTGTTTGTCTTTGAATGGCAGTGTGTGCAGACAACAACCACGTTCGGACGTGGACGGTGACGCGGTTCAGAGGCATGATCTCCACACAGCCAGGCTCCACCCCTCTGGCTTCCTTTAAGATACTGTCCCTGGAGGAGACAGAGAGCCATGGAAGCTACTGCGCTGGCAATGACATAGGTGAGAGATAAGAAGGGAAGCTCAGAGGAAACACAGCTGAGAATTAGATTTAAATGAAGGAATGTTGAACTGAGTTGGATATCCTCGTGACTCAATGAGACTAACCTGTATAAATAAAGGTTGAATGAAATATGAGAAACTTTGTTACAGTACATAAAAATAAAGACACTTTAGTGGTGAGGCTGAGAATTGGCAATGCAAAAATCCAATCAATACTGGTGAGGTTTTGGTCACTTCCTTAAAGATCTTAAAAAGGTTATGGGCTTCTGTTAGGTCCCTTTGGAGAAAGAGACGACCAACAGGTATTCATCCAAAAAGTCATCCCCATCACCAACAAACTGTTTGTGAGACTCTCTTCAACTGGAAAAAGGTACAGTATCCCCCATAAACGTCTCTCAGCTCACCATGAATGATGTTATTGTGTTTACATGCACCGTTTTTACTTTTTTGTGTATTTCAGGATCTGTGAGGTGCAGTCAGTGGATGGAACTACCATCTCCTGCTTCATGGTTCGGGAGTGCGAGGGCTCCAGTCGAATGGGATCCCGACCACGACGTTACCTGTTCACTGGTCATGGCAATGGCAGCATACAAATGTGGGACCTCACCACTGCGATGGACACAGCAAACAAAGGAGAAGAGAGGAGGAAAGAAGGTGAAGAAAGAAAAGGGGCTGAAAAAGAAATTAGATTTTTCCACACAATATGTAAATCACAATAAATGTGGTAATTTAATTTGATGTTATCCTGAATTTATCTTGTTTGATAGATGTAGGTGGGCCAACAGAGGAGGAGCTGCTACAGCTGCTGGACCAGTGTGACCTGAGTACTTCTCGCTGTGCAACACCAAACATTAGCCCTGCCCCCTCCGTGCTGCATCACACACGCCTCAGAGAGTCGTGCTCGAGGTTAGAAACATGCTTGGCAGCGTGCACTTACCAAATCCTTCACAGTGTTTTCGATCATGAAACATCTTACCCTCCTGTCTCCTCTCAACCTCAGTCTGCAGCTACAGGCCCAGGAATCCATTCCTGGGAACCAGACCACTTACGGAGCGGTGCGGCCCTACAGAGAGAGCCCCCTGCTGGCTCGTGCTCGACGAACTGAATCCTTCAACTGCTACAGGTGAAGAAATGTTCGGCTGTTCAGACACTGCAGTTTCTGTAGCTGTGAAGTAGAGTTGCATTCAGGCCCAAAAAATCTGACCCGACCTGGCCCCCAGCCCATAGCCATCATTTCCGAACCCCACTTGACCTGAAGAATTAACAGTAATTACAGGTCCGAACCCGACAACCCCCCCCCCC